AAAAATCTCGTATCACGGAAACTTAACTTGTGACTGAACGCAGAAGGCGCTATATACTATAAAGAAGAAAGAAAATATATTTTCAAACTGAAATAAAGAAAGTTTCCTTCCAATATACTCGCACTTTGGTCCCGACCCTTAGTAATAAAAAAAGAAAAATTCAATATGATCGTTTCACTTTCGGTAAATTTAACTATGTCCAAGCTTCGGTCGCTCCCCTTGCTTTTTCTATATTTGCCAAAGTAAAAGAAGGCGATGCTTCGAACAGTGAGAAGGATGAGATCAATCGAATTTTACTCGTACGCGACGGTATAGGCCCACTCAATTTTTCGAGAATTGCTTTATGAGTCACTAGACTTGCAGTGGCTTCGATAAATTGCAATTATTCCTTATCACCGTGCAGGGACTTCCCTTCGAAAACTTCTCCTACGCGCAGCGATAACGTAAATTGCCCATAAAATCTAAGCGATCTGCCAAGTAACGCACGTAGGGGGCCCCTTGCTCGCAGTTTCTCGAGTGCATTGAAGTTACTCCCATAGTAACCGTTTGATCTTGTGAGGGATGATGCTACCTCTTGTCGCTTGTCATTTTTTCTCCGTCCACTTCAAGCTAAAACACTCGGGAGCACTCAAAAATTGTCTGAGAGACCTGTACGAGACACGACTTGTCATGCGGAATAATTTATATGTATAGAGCGTCAGAATTCCGGAAGTCCGACCATGCCGACAGTGACGCCTCTTCTTTTAACTTCGTCCACCTAATGATCTCGGAAATTCACCTTTCTCTCAATTTGAAAAACAAATGCTTACATAGGAAAAAGTGAAAGCGTTTGTTTACATTTCGATATACGAATTTTGTTTGTAGTCCCTAAAAATCGACTTCTCCCACATATGATTGTTTTAAGAGTTCGAATACAACATATTGAGAAAATATCAGAAAAAAAAGATGTCATTGAGAAAATCAGCCCGATATTAAGAGTACCACGAAAATTGAGAATTTCGACAAATAAAAAAAAATCCAACGGTCTTCTCTGTAAAATCTTAGACAAATTTGTCCTTCGGACAAGTTTTATGAAAACTCGTGTATTCGCGAGACAAGAAAGTCAATCCCTCGAATTTTTAATTCGTCTATCCGAAAAACGAATTTTCATCAATAATGTTCTTTCTACTGGAAGAGAAAAAGGAAAGATTCTCTCATGAGAAGTTCAACCTAATTTCAAAAGCTCGAATTCTCATGACCAGACTCAGAAGTAATCTGCAGACAGAAAATACTTGATCTTTCGGACGCCCAAGCTAAATTTTACGAATCACCCCTAACACGCTTGTCAGGCTCACCCTCGAGGAATTCGCTACAGTCTCTGCCACGACCATTAAACGCATTCCGTTTGCAGCATCCCCCGGAAAAAAAATGAGTCGCGACATCTGCTGCTTTCCGCGATGCAATTCGAGCCCCCGAAACAGGAGTCGTAAGGGTCGAAGGAGGGAGACACCCGTAGAACGATTCGGGCAATCAGCGTGTAATCTGTTTAGGTTACTTATTCGTCGCGCATGACTAACCGCTGCTTTGGGGATTGTCCGCCGTACAGGGAAGCCTAGAGGAATATTTTATGACAACGACAGATGCGCAGGAGATTATCCCTTAAATATATAGGTTCTTTCCTGAATATTTGATTTGCTACCATACACGCATACGTGACCGTCAAAGAAACTCACCAGCTGAATGTACAGAAAAAAAGTCACTCCTTCATTAACCTTCTTATATCGTTTCGCAAACGTTACGCAAATGTAGCCACCTCCCCAAATGAATAAACAAACAGCAACGCGTGCCGTCATTACTGACTAATTTCATTAGCTCTGACACACGTAATCTTAGCACGGAATGCCATATCTAACGCACGTGCGCGCGATTCGAAGAATTTCGAACGAAAGATATAAAACGTTACGTGGATACTACTGATAATACACCGATCATGAGAGCAAAACGAATAGTAAACGAAATAGTTGGTCCTGATATTCAACAAGACAAAATAACTTACAAACAATTTATTTGGCTGACGGCAGAAAGGAAATAAAAAAAAAAGAATCGTATAAATTACCGACGAAGTCACGAGAACCAAATAGACAGAAATAAATTGAGCCTTGCTTTAAGAATAGTAAATGAGATAAAAAAAAAAATAAGAAGACACAATAGTACAGAAAGGTAGGAAAAGAAGAAAAAGTGTCTCAGTGAGAACCGAAACATATGACTCCTTGCTTGAGTTATAGACAGTAATATAATGGTTGTCGAACGTAATACTCGTGACGGGATATTCTTTCTCGTATCAGGCGTTTTGTAATTAAAAACGAAAAAAAAAAGATAAATTACTCATGCCTTCCGAAATAATTGTATTTGCATGACTAAAATTCGTTCGAAATTATGAACGCCAATTTATTGTAAAAAAGGATGACCGGCCACCCCGCTCTGGATCTTTACTCTGGGCAATTTTCAGACAATTTCAGGTAATAAATTTTGCATGTGAAATTGCAGTAATCCGTTTTTCCAGTATGTATATGTTATGCAAAAGACTGCCTCTGACCGTACTGGTCAACAGTTGCAGAATGTCTGGCTTCTGGCTTTTACATTCACATGCCGGTCTTCTGCTTTGTCTTGCCTGTTCTAACGCCATATGGAATAGAAACATGCAGTGAAATGCAATTCTCTTATCACGCCTCGAATACGGAAACAGTCCTTTTCGAGAAAAAAAAATAATATTATCAATCCCTACCGCGTGCTAGGAATCCACCGGATTGGCCTTATCTAGAGCTCAATAAATCACCGACGTCCCTATTAATTCCCAAAGAACGACTCACGGAAAGTTCATCCCATGACTGCTTACTTACTCGCCATTTAGTCCAAATATCTACGCCACGAAAACGGAGTCACGAACATTTCGTAATGCAAAGTTAATACATTCCCGTTGCGCCTTCGAAGTTTTCTCTCCGATGAAACATTGATAGCACCATCAGTAACGTGCTGCGTGATTCTTTCACTAAGGAAGGTTAAGTTAGGTGCCTATAGGTGTTCAGATAACGGAAGATACGACCGAACAATTTTCTTCCGGCTGAATTACCGAAATTGTTTGGTTCATGATTGCACACTTCAATGTCTATTCGGCACGAGACGTGGAATATTTGGATACCGGAGTCTGTGTTAATCATAGATATAAAAATCCAAAATTTTCACATCAGAATTTGATCCCCTCAAATCGTTGTCAATGGCTGCTATAAAAAATGCGACGTTCGCCCTTTATCGGAGGCGTCATACAGTTTGTGTCATGTGTATCGAATCGAAGCAATCCATGTTGAGAAAGTTTATTGTCAGACGATCTTCCTCGGCCCTTTATCCAGACAAGCAGATACAAGGCTCTCCTCTTAACTTCCGCAACGGGCGTTAATGCAGAAAATCCTTACTAAAGCCCATTTAACAGCTAAGATTACGGTTAATACACCCGATAAGGATTATGCTGGCTCGCATAAAACGAAATGCCCGGTATTACGACCTCTCGTGAAATAGGCATTGACTTTGTTAAAGTTCCTATCCTTGAGCAGTTCTCACGTGAGGCTCCGTCAAAGGTGAATTGATAATTCCGTTCTAACAAATTAAATGCCGCTGCTGCTGCGTTTTATCGCAATGCAAAAGGGATGGTATCCTTGTATGGGTAGCAAGCTTTGCGGAAGCTCTTTCATTCACGAGGATATGTAAAAATGCTGCAATGGAGCCTGTACGGAAAACGAGCTCAAAATAGCAATGCGGACTTTTATAAATAAAAGTGAACAGTATCGTAGACACCTTTTGAAGGAATTAGATAAAAAAAAAAGCTTTATCGACTTGGCAACAGGGTAGAGCTGCCAGGGGATATGAAAGGGATACGACGGAGCGCAATGACTGACATACTTCTAAAAAGAAAAAGAAGAAATAAAGATATTACACCATTTATAACAAAAATTAACATAACAACGTATGTCTTGTATTTTACAAGCGATTATTGCTCTCAAACAGAATTTTTCCACTGCGATTCATTCCCAAAAATGTGTTAATGCATTATTCCTATTAAATTACAGAAACTGTTGGGAAATGTGCAGGTCGATTTTTTTAAATAATCGATAATGGGAATTATGTCAAATGTCAAAATGCGAAGACCTATAGGTCGTGACATGAACTAATTGTACTCGGATTCATTAATTAACAATGTAATTGTTTATGGTTGCTAGTTTCAATACTGCAAGTAATGAGACCTGCCGAATCGGATCAGTGAAATAATAATTTAATTTGCACAGCCATGATAATTTATGAGATGCCAATAATAATATTATTGCTCGTACTAAACGTACAGGCTTATCATTTCTATCGCTGACGGCACTAAAAAATCCTACCCAATTTACTTCGTGATTCAATTGTAATGCAAAAGCACGAAATATCACTGCGAGAGAGAGAAAAATAAAAGCTGCATATCGATGAGTTCAGAGAAAGATATAAAATATCAATAAACTGTTAAACCCTATACTGCGTCGCATTTTGAAATAAGTCAGGTCTGGTCGATAGATTGTCATTCAGTTACGCGATGGTGTTCCTCTAAAAATTGCATAGGGTAGTCTCGTGTATTTCTTTATTCCATCACTGTACCCGTCCTAACTACACCTCCATTTCGCTATTTGAGCGGACGTCGTGAGGGTTCTTTGTTTATTATGCAGGTGACTTTGGCAACACTCTATTTGCTGTAATTCCCTTGCGTTACTCACGACCCATCAGGACAAAGTTTGCCAGGAATTAGAGCGATATCTCACACCGACGATATCAGGATTGTTAACAATTACGTATTACGTCACAATTGTAGGTATTGCGGATTTCCGCATAATTCGATCTGCACGTCGGATCAGAATATTCACAGCGACGCAGCTACTAGATATCCCTACCGACCGAGTAAACCGAGAGATCGATTAAATCTGTAATCGGCGTCGTACCTGGAAATTTATTGGACTGTCGCAGAGTAGAACTTCCTGAGCTTCAGGTAATCTGGCAAATTCCAAATCCTTGCCACGATCCACTCTCCGTTCACAATTTAATCTCTATGCACATAAGTTCGAAACAACGAAATGGACCGATAATTTTCCACCAAGTCCACGAATTGAATTATCATTGACAATTGTCTCAGTTTCACCGCTTCTTTCTCTGTTTTTCACTATTTGTCAAAGAGATAGTAACTGTGTCCCGTAAGAAACGGGGAAGAGACTGTAGAAAATGAGTTTCCGATTCCAACCGGAAAATGTTCCGGAAGGCTAATAAACACTCGCTCAATACTTCAGACAGTCTTATTCCTTTGGATACCCGTGACGAAGTAAAATTTCGGTGTCAATATCACAGAATCCTCGTCGATCATTATTCCATTTGCGCGCGGTTTAAAGATAAAAAAAAACCATAAAGTTAGACCCCACTAAACTTCATATCTTTTCTTGATTTTTCGAAACACACTTTTTAAATCTTTCACGAGAGTAGAAAATTCGTAGGTTTCACTTTTGCAATATAACTCTTAAACTTTGCACTTGTGCGACTGGCCTAGGCCCTAGAGCGTTCCTCAGGATAAGGTATCTGTATCTGAGACTCGTAAGATAAAGTTCATATCTCCCGCGCCCGGTATTTTTCACTAAATTATTACAGCTCTAATATTTTGTCTCGTTATTATCACGCACTCCTGCACATCACCAGCCACGCAACCCTTCGATGTGCATCCAACGTCACTCCAGTATTGATTTAATAATTGTCGCGTTTCGAAAAAGCCGCGAGCCAAACCGAAATGAGAATCTCCAGCGATAGCAGTGCGCGCGACACGTCGTCGTGTTAGCAAGAGACTAACCCCTGAGCTGTTCTGCACCCCTGGATGCCGCGCATGCCCCCTGCCTTAAAGAACTCAACCCCCTGCCAGTCCCTTCTAGCCGTACATCCCTAAGCACCTCCCTACCACGAAATGCCCCCGCTACTTCATCATTTTTTTTTTTCCATGAAAATCAACTCTTTTTTTCATCGCAACGGTCCCACCTGCAGAATCCACATACATCCGGTATCTGCTTACTGCAGAGTCACTATTATTTTCTTTTGTTCAAAACAGTTGAATGATTGAGTGATTAAGGTAGACTTATGGTGCCTTAAGTGGAAACGACTGAAGGTTAGACATGGGTAGATACAAGAATGACATTTTAACGTGACGTTCAACGTAGTTTTTTACCGAAGAAAATTTCTTTCTCCGAGTAGTCTTATCGTTTCATCCAGACAAATATTGACACGACGAAAGTGCAACTCTATCACACCAAAAATATTTCTGATGGTCATTTAAAACTTTTTCATCGTATATCTATACAATGTAAACATTGACATTGTTAATATTAGTAATCTCATTATACATATCTCAATACGGAACTAATGTCAGATACGGCTGAAAGAATTCGACTTCTAATAATAATGGCGCCTGAATTACGAAATTTTTCAATCTCGACTCTTAATCGAAATGCGCGACGTAGTTCGAATGGCAAGCTTCATTACAGTACCGATTCGTTTTCCTCGTGTACCTTCCGTTCTAAGATGATAAGAGAGTGGGCGCTTGGGGTGTTCAGGAGGACACGAGGGTGGAATCGAGGTAAAGAGGACAAATCGTTCCCTCTGCTCACCTTAGCAAGAGTAAACGGGCTCGTTTGGCAAATCCAGGAGGCTGGGAGCATCAGCAATTGAAGTGGGTAAGGTAAGGTTAACCTGCCTTGCCTAGCTGCCTCGCTGCCTTGCTGCCTACCTTACGGGAGTTGAATTGGCTATTAGTATCGCTGACGAAACTCCATCGACCAAGGCAACGGCTTCCACCCGTAAAGCCCGGCTCTTCAATTTCGAAACGCACGAGCCGAACTTTCCCATTAACCGTTAAATTTGAATTTGCCCCATTTCGACGGCATTTGACTAATGATCGAACTTATTACTTTTAATCGGTTTCCGTTACTTTAACGAATTAATATTGGATCCTGGTAAAATCCTTACGAAGGTAAGCCTGACACGTACTCATCCACAGCTCAGGGAAATCGCCATTCTTATACCGGAGGTTCGATTACGTCTCGTGTTGGTTGACGTCGCCCACTACCTGGGCGTGACGTCACCGAAGCATTATAATTTTCATAACAATCAGGTTATGTAGTTTCTGGTTGTGCACGAAAAAAAAAAAAAACCTACCCTCTCCCCCCGCATGAATAAGTTTTCATGTTCGAGTACGTACGAAATTCAAAGAGTCTCGATGAAGTGGAGAAATTTTCAATACGTGCTTCCATACTTTTTTTCTTTACGTCGTACACTAGCGAGAATTAACGACCCTCCTGCCTGTAGCGTAATAGCATAATTTGTAATATTTTTGATGGTCCTCTTTGCTCCCAGCTGCACATATGTGAAACCTCTGCAATTTCCCATTTGAAATTCCAAAGCTAAGCTTTATGCAAGGCAGTGTCACAACGTCGCTCCACCATCAAAGACTCGCTGTGATACAATAGCTGTCGTATGTTAATGTCTAATGGAATGACAACCCTGCGAGTAGATATTCCAAGGATTAGACGGCTGTCAAGGATAAAGCTGTCACCGGGTGATATTTGTGCATTGAGGTGATGTTCTCTATGGGTATAGGTAAATTACGAGGTAAGTCATAAGTCGGTAGGTAAATCCTTCTAATGTAAGGTTGCCACGTTCAACCTGATTCACGAAACCTAACCGTGAAATCTCTAATTTGGATTGTGTCACTTGAAGTATCAAAATACGGATCACGGAGAACCTTCTCGATGATATCTGTTATTTTCTGGAGACGATTGCTTCTATCTGGAGAAGCTCGAGAAGCTCAAAGAAGGATCCTCGAGAAAGCAGATTTGGGGATGAACAACCACCCGTTCTAGGGGGGGGGCATGGCGAAAACCCCTTGGAGTAGGAACACGCTGACCTTCTCGTATATTTATGCGGTGACGGAACCGAGGGAAAGAAGGAGTAACGAGATTTTCGATGGTCAGAAGAAAATAACCAAAGAGGGACCCCTGCCACGCAGACTCCATAAACACAAATTTATTAACGGTCGGGCGCCAACGAAAGAACAAGACCGGTTCGAACCGTATATCAGGATTAGGTCGAGTCGACTCTCACCCGTGAATTTTACCAGGACTCTCCACGATCCTCATTCCGTTTCTTCTGCTAGAATCGTACCAGATTGCCGAAGACTATATACTGCGCGTACGCACAGATCTGCGCGTGCGGCTAAAACTCAGCCCCCGATGCTTTCTTACTTTCCCTCTTTGTTTTTCCGTACCTTTCACTCCATTTCTTTTTTTTTCCTCGGCCAACCCCTTAAAGTAATCCTGGCAAGATCTCAACGGATAAACGCTCCCGTATTTTCTGCTCCTGGCACGCTGCGGACCATGCAGTCCTCCAAGACGCACTTCTTCTGGATCCTATGGGGACGAAAGGGATTCAGCCGTGTTCATATGTTAATATTATATTCGCATGTGGTATCCTGCCAGATTCCGCCCGTCTTTCTACGGCGCTAATACCGGGGCCAAAGTTTCTCGTGACTCAGAGAAATTTCTCAATTGTGCGTCTGTATAAGCAGCATGCCCCAACTTCCTTTAACAGATCTTGGCTTTGGTAACCTTTCGTGGAATTCGAATGGATCTCGTAGTTGGCGCTAACCACCGACGTTGTAATTTAGCCAAAGCCACCCTAATAGAGACGGAAGCTCTGTCGGGAAAGTTATGTTGGCGTCGGCGTCGACGTCGCCGATAAACAAGAGAATCACGCGAGTGACGAGACACATGGAGGAGATACAGTTGTCAAAGTTTTTCGTTTGACTTTGCAATGGTCGTCGAAACCGACGCCAATCTCGACATCGTTCTGTACCATGAAGTCGGTTTTTTTCTCTCAAGTTTGCTGTATGAACCGCGGAGCTTTTCCATCTGCGGCTACTTTGCATGCAAAATATCCGAAGTTGTTACACACATAGATTTTTATGGCGAGTAGACTACACTATCCATAAGAATCTTATGGACTCGTGATTCTTCCAGTTTATGCCTGGCTTAACTTCAATATGGCTGCGATGAAAAGCGCATTAACTTTAGTCTATTGGGTACGGTATCATGATCGAAATAAAAGGACCATTAGTCCAGTTAGAATTAATTAGAAACAGACGGAGTTGATTCCATCGTCACCGATAACGCTAGTCGTAAAGAATGTTCAGCTGCTTCGTAGCGAGTACACCTACCAAATGCGATTCCATTTCGTTGGGTTTTAACCTTTTATGGGTTTTATTTTTCCTTTTCCAACGCAGTCAATCGTGTTCAAAGAGGATTTGACTGATACTAATGGAGTGTATATTCGAGGTGTCAGAAAGGTTCGTAACCACGAATACGAATCGTAGATTTTCCCGACTTACGACAAAGTTTCAACCCTAGTAGGAGTGAGCAAATGGACCAAGCTTGGCCGTAAGTCTGGGTGAAACTTGGGATGATATCCTCCAACCAAGCTTGGTGGACAAACCTGAACCAAGTTTGATAGGCATAATATTTGTTCTACAAAAGTATTATTTAAAAAAAGATATTCATCAATTTAACTGCATTTACATTAAACTTGGAAGATTTACTCGGATTATTAAACTAACGAAATTAAATTTATTACATTGGAGGCAGGATTCGATTTTGGAACCCTGGAGTTTGTGAACTGCGACCATACCTATTCGGCTATTAAGAATGTTATGGAATATATTGGGTACTGATATGTCAGCCGTGGAAGATTTTTTATACAGTTATGGATCATGATTTGAAAATCTTATACACAAATGTTTTCTTATACTGTTTAAACAAATTATTCAATAATTTAATAAAATTCATTTTTCTCGTGTTATTACGCGCAAGGCAAATATATCCGACTCTGATAAGGTCAATATCGAACGAGGTCCTCATTTTTCCAGCAGATATTCCTTCCATAAATCTAATGAAGCGCTGATAAGGATGAGATCAGGTATGCCTGATAAGATGCTTCCTATGAATACCCGATTATGCCCTGATATTATATTAAGTATGTCTAACCAAAGTTGTATTCGGGTAGATTTTGACAGTTAATAACCCTAGTCATATGAAGGATCAGAAGAATAGAGTTTATTCCAAGCTTGGGATTTCAAGGCTTGATTCAAGTTTCTGATGCCGAGAATGGGTTCCCAAAATCCGGCTGAAGCTTGGTCCCAGTTTGGGATGCCAAGGCTTGGTTGGAGCCTTGGGTTACCTAAGCTCAATCCAAGCTAGGAACCTAAAGCTTAGCCCAATCTTAGCAAGCTACATCTTGACATTTCATAGCTAAACCAAGCTTGGCACATTTGTCAGCATTTGGAGTTCCTACCAGGGAAAGACGACTTCACGCCGAGGATCAATTTCTTCCCTAATTCACCAAACCCAAAATTTAAACCCACCTGTCCCTATCGCGTGATCTTATTTTAATAAGTCAACTGAGATCTCGAAATGTATCCAGTATTTTTGGTTCAACCACTCTTTGAAAAGTGAGAAACATGAAAAAGAATGAAACAAAAAAAGAATCATACCGTATTTCATTCAGATTTTCAAATACAGCTCCATTCATCCAATGTAGAGTATCAATCGTTTCTATAAATGTCTCAATATTGTCACTACCGTGCCAGATTCGAAAAGAGAACTATTGTCGCCCGTGGCTGAAAGTCAACGCCATAGTTATACGAAAAGTTTTCACTGTCTCCGTTTCGCGTTTATATCGTGTCCTGCCGAAAATTGATTGCAGCTCTGACAAAGGCCTAAAGCCGGATTTCATATGCAT